CAGTCCAGGATAATCGTTCCCCTCCAGATCCTCAGCTGAGTCCATCTGCAGAGCCCCTTTCGCCATAAGAGGCCACACATTTGATCAATAGAGTGGCAAAAGAATTAACAGGAAAACCCCAGGGAGCAATGGTTGCTAAACAGAACCCAGCAAGGGGGAGTGAGGGGGTGGGGGCAGCATCCTCCTGCACATTATCATCATCAAGCAGTTGTTCATTTGCTTTATTCAAACAAAAATCATGCACCTGCAGGTGCAGCTCTGCAGTGGTCTCTGGAGCTCTTCAGGGCTAACAGCTCTTACAGATTTTTTTTTTTTTTTTTGTCTTAAAGCAGGTTTTCTGCCTACAAGATTTTAAGATGTAAGGTTTTAAGCAGCTGCCAGGCATGGTGCCAGGCTGTAATTCCAGCACTTGAGAGGCTGAGGCAGGAGGATTGCTGAGTTTGAGGCCTGCCTGGGCTACTTAGTAAGACCCTGTCTCAAAAAGAAAAAAAAAAGATTTTAAGCAGGTGCTCTGACTCAAGATTTATAGGACTGTCCAAGCCCATACTACCAGAGAATTTAAAATCTACATTTACAGGACCTCCAGAGCTGGGTTCTATCCAAACGAGGTTTGTGAAGCTGCACTGAGATCCCTGGACAAAGCCCTGCTAGACCAACACAGGAAATGCAAGGGAGTACTGCTTATATACCAGCCATAGGCCTGTGATTGGTCCAAATTCAAGTCTGTGATTGGTCCATAGTTGAGCCTGCTGATTGGTCCAGGTTCAATTCTACTGCTTGGTCTAGATTGCAGGACACTGAAATCAGGGCAGACACTTCCAAGACACAGGGCTCCAGGACAGGCAGGCAGCTGTCACAGCAGGGCTCCGAAATGAAGGGGCTGAAGCTAGAGACCCTCAGGAGTGTTAGCTGTGCTATCACGGCGCACCGGGAGCTGGCGAAGGCAGAGATGTTGCCAAAGGGCAGCCGCCTCTGGTCTCTGCCATCTTGGTGAGGTGTCCCTGCTACTTTTTTAGCTGGGGACAGCAGGAAAGGGGACTGTGGGTGGCACTGCATCACCCACTGGTGGTGCGTGTTGGCTGCTTGAGTGGGTTAGCACTGTGTGGTGTTTTGTCATGAAGGAAGCCATCATGGTTTCTTGGGCCCAAGTCAGTCACCTGAGTGAAAAGTGTGCAGGAGAGCTAGCTGACACCCTCGAGCCCTGTGCACATGTTATGGTGCCATTTAAGCCCTTCAGTTTTCCAGGTATTTGCTACTCAGCAATAGACAATGAATCATCGTCTCTGCCTAACCTTGGTCTAAACAAATTCCACTTTTTGAACGGTAAAACCATCAGCTTGTAATTCTGTCTTTGCTTCTGTGCTTATGAGCAGGTATCTCTCTGTAAAGGGCATCTCCCAGCTCTGTCTCTGTCTGTTCCTCTGTCTCCGGGCATCATTAAGTTCTGCTGACTTACAGTATTTTATTCAGGGCCGGGTGTGGCTCCATGGTGAGCACTGGCCTCGTATGTGTGAGGCCCTGGGTTCCATCTCCAGCACTACAAAAAAAAAATCAATGCATTACAATAGATTGCATTTATTACAAATTTTTAAGAAAAACTTTCCTTGAAGTGTGAAATTCCTGTTGCCTGCTGCGGTAGGGCTGGGCACTGAGCGCTGTTGGGCGCCAGGGCCTCGCTGGGGCGATGGACGCTCTACAGCTAGGTGGCGCTGGGGCTGCACAGCCCTGCAAGTGGACTGGAAATCACTGGGCTACATGCTTGAATGGACAGACCTGAGGACGTAAATTATATGTCGACAAAA